ATATATATATATATATATATATTTATATTAAATAATATATATAATAATATGAACAAAGAAAGAGATAAAATACTTTGTAGATATTCGCTTCCTTCTGGCGTCTCCCTCACTGTGACGATAAACTGAAGAAACAAAACAAAACCCTAAACCCTAAACCCTAAACCCTAAACCCTATACCCTATACCCTAACAATTCTAACACCAGCATTAGCAACATCAGTAGCAGCTGCTGCAACAGCAGTAGCAGCAGCACCAACATCATCAGCATCAACAGCAGCAGCAGCAACACAGCAGCAGCAACAGCAGCACCAGCAACATCATCAGCATCAACAGCAGCAGCAGCAGCAACAGCAGCAGCAGCAGCAGCAGCAGCAGCAGATAGTGGAAGTTACGCTGCTGAAAGCAGAGGCCCCTGAAGAAAAAGATAAATCAAACAAAGTCTTTGCTTCGGGTAAACCCTGAGCCCTGGCGTCTACATTACACCCCATCGCGCTCACGTGCCTGCACCAAACCCTAAACCCTAAACCCTAAACCCTAAACCCTCATCCCTAAACCCTAAAGAAGGTGCGGTAGCATGCAGTACGCCATACTTGTTTGCAGCTTCAAGAGTGAAGCAAGAGGCATAGCAGGGTTCCAGCAAACACAATAAACCCTAAACCCTAAACCCTAAACCCTAAACCCTAAACCCTAGTTTGTCGGACTTGCTGTCACCCAAGACGGGTATTTCGAACTCTGAGCAAATGATATATTCAACCCCAGCCAAAACCATTGCATATTGAATCTGCAAACAAAGCCGCACAAACATCTGCTGCTGCTGCTGCTGCTGCTGTTGCTGCTGTTGCTGCTGCTGCTGCTGCTGCTGTTGCTGATTTCGTGTACTGCAGCAGCAGCAGCAAGAAAGCAGCAGCAACGGGAGCAGCAAATTGCTACCAATAACAGCAGCAGCGCATGCACAAACAGAAACAACACCGACAGCAAACGCACAAACAGAAGCAGCAGCAGCAGCAGCAGCAGCAGCAACAGAGCAGCAGCAGCACAGCAGCAGCAGCAGCAGCACACCTTCCCGCTGAAACTGCCGAGGGACCTGTTGGCCTCAGCCAGACAAACCATCTCCTGGCGGGAGTCTGAAACGCAAAGCCCTAAACCCTAAACCCTAAACCCTAAACCCTAAACCCTAAAGGTCCCTCCAAAGCTTCGCCGGCAAGCTCGGCTGCTGCTCTGCTGTTGCTGTTGCTGCTGCTGCTGCTGCTGCTGCTCTGCTGCTGCTGCTGCTGCTGCTGCCGCTGCTGCTGCTGCTGCTCTGCTGCTGCTGCGCTGCTGCTGCTGCGCTGATGTGGTGGTGGTTTTTCTGCTGGTGCTGCTGGAGCTTGTGCGTTTGCTAGCGGAGCTCTGTCTGTCTGTGCTAAACCCTAAACCCTAAACCCTAAACCCTAAACCCTAAACCCTGAAGGGACACTCACGAATTGCTTCGATCGGCTGGCGCTGCCAAGTTCCATGATGCAGCATGTGAAGATGCCGATAGAAGGTGGCGCTGAATCCCAAACCCTAAACCCTAAACCCTAAACCCTAAACCCTACACAGTAAACCCTAAACCCTAAGCCCTACACAGAAAACCCTAAACCCAGTCCTAAACCCTAAACCCTAAACCCTATTCCATGAGGCGCCTTCAAGGCCCTAAACCCTTGGCCCTAACGTGTTAATGCAGAAAACTCCGCCCTCTGCAGCCCCATCCACCGACAGTGAGACCCCTAAACCCTAAACCCTAAACCCTAAACCCTCCTCACCTGGTGAGGTTCACGAAGTGGAACTCGCAGCATCTTGAAGCTGCCGCCATTTTGGACTTTGTTTAAGGGTTTGGGAGGGGCAGAAGACCAAAGGGTTTAGGGTCCTGTAAACCCTAAACCCTAAACCCTAAACCCTCGACTGGCGAGCGTTGTTACTGCATTTGCGGTAAGAGGAGTCTTTGGAGGGTGTCTGCTCTGCTGTAAAGCCCTAAGATGTCTGTTGTTGTTCACAGTTTAGGGTTTAGGGTTTAGGGTTTAGGGTTTAGGGTGTAGGGTTTAGGGTTTAGTGTTTAGGGTTTGCTGCGGTGTCTCAACAGCGGCCAGCAGCAGCTAACCCTGGCGCGACTGCATCGAGAGAGAAGAACAAAGCAAAAAATAAACAAATAAGATTAATAAAATTAATAATTTTTAATATTAAACAGCTTCTTCTTTCTATTTACCCCCTCTGTCTGCTCTCCTCACCATTGCAGCGGTTTAGAGGTCCAGGGGGGGCCCCCAGTGTCCAGCCCACGAGGGTTTAGGGTTTAGGGTTTAGGGTCTAGGGTTTAGGGTTTAGGGTTTATGGTTTATGGCTTAATTATCATTGTCTACAGTTTTGTTTACGGTATAAAATTCAGGATCTACGGTTTAGGGTTTAGGGTTTAGTGTCTAGGGTTTTTGGTTTAGGGTTTTCGGCTAGGGTTTAGGGTTTAGGGTTTAGGGTTTTGGGTCGGGAGTGTCTTCTGCTGAGCGAAATCTGCGCCTCCGGTCTTCGAGGGTTAGAAGGGGTTTAGGGTTTCTTCTTAAGAAGCCATGGTTTAGAAGGGGGTTTAGTGTTTAGGGTTTAGGGTCTAGGGTTTAGGGTTTGCCTTTTAGGGTTTAGGGTTTAGGGTTTGGGCCCCTGGAGCGCTCTATAACCGCACAATATGGCTGGAGAGCTCTTCGTGCTCCTCAGCTCTCTGCAGAGGTCTTAACTTCTAAACCCTAAACCCTAAACCCTAAACCCTAAACCCTAGTTGGGGCTGTTTGTTTGTATTCTTGCTTCCGATGGGGCCTTCTTTGCTTCTCTCATTCTTCTTGCCTATTTCCCTAGGGTTTATGGTTTAGGGTTTAGGGTTTAGAGATGGCTGCGCGGTGTATAATATCTTCACCCTTCTTTCTCTCACCCCTTCGCTTGAGGGGCCCAGCCACCCGTCGGCTGCAGCAGAAGCGGCAGCAGCTGCTGCAGCAGCAGCGGGAGCAGCAAACCCCTTTTCCCAAAGCAGCAGCAGCAACAGCAGCAACAGCAGCAGCAACAGCAGCAGGTGAAGAAGACTGCAGCAGCACAGCTTCCTTCTGGGACCCTCAGCTGCAGCAGCACCGCCCCCACCAGCAGCAGCACCAGCAGCACCAGCAGCAGCAGCAGCAGCAGCAGCAGAGCAGGGGGCCCCCCAAGCGCGTAGGTACCGGGCATTATGCAGACCCTATGAGGGCCCCCGTTGCTGTCGAAGGCTGCAACTCGGTGTTTGCTGAGTTCTTAAATTATAATCAGCAGCAAACAAAAAAAACAATTGTAGCTACACTCATTCGCCACAGAAGGCAGCAAATAAAGCAGCAGCAGCAGCAGCAGCAGCAACAGCAGCAGCAGCAGCAGCAGCGACGGCAGCTAGTGCAGCAGCAGCAGCACCACCATGACGACAGCGGCTGGGCATCTGAAGCCGCAGCGGATGCACCCCCAGCAGCAGCAGCAGCAGCAGCAACAGGGGGAGCAGCAGCAGGAGAAGCAGCAGCAGCAGCAGCAGAAGGAGATGCTGATATGCCTTTGCCGCTGGCCCTTGCTGAGGTGTACGTGCAGCACCAGCAGCAGCTGCACAGCATCGCTCCCCGCCCCTATTTATTTAGAGAAGCATGTGTAAAAGAGTTTGCTGCTGGAGCCCTTGCTGCAGCAAATGCTCTCTACCCCCCAACTGTCTCCTTCGATCCCTTTGCTGCTCCTGCTGCTGCTCCTGCTGCTGCTAAAGCTAAGCTGCAGCAGCTAGCGCAGCTCGTGCATGCGCCTGCACTGCCGCTGCTGCAGACAGAAACCCAGCAAACAATCAGCAGATTAATAAACTCAAATTCTTCAGAACAAACAAACACAAACAGATCCCTCAATAAACCTACCAACCAGGGGGGCCCCCTAGATGAGGGGGGCCCCCTAGCAGCGGGGGGCCCCCTTAAAGTGGGGGGCCCCCTAGAAGAGGGGGGCCCCCTAGCAGTTGGGGGCTCCCTAGAAGAGGGGGGCCCCCTAGCAGTTGGGGGCCCCCTAGAAGAGGGGGGCCCCCTAAGAGTGGGGGCCCCCCTTAAAGTGGGGGGCCCCCTAGAAGAGTGGGCCCCCCTTGAAGTGGGGGGCCCTCTAGAAGAGGGGGGCCCCCTAGAAAATGAAGGGGGCCCCTTTGAAGGTGAAGGGCGCCCCCTTGAATGTGAAGAGGGGGGCCCCCTTAAAGAGGGGGGCCCCCTTAAAGAGGGGGGCCCCCAAGGGGGGCCCCCTTTGAAAGGTGAAGATAAGAAGGGTTGGGGAGTGTTTGGGTTTGAAACCCCAAGGCGTACTTGGGAGTTGAATGAGGGTTTAGGTTTGTTTGAGGAGGGTGCAGCTCCGAGTGTTATAATAAGAAGGCCAGGAGAAGAAACGGGAAGAAACGATGGAGGAGACGATCCCAACCCCACAAACGATCCCGATCCCGACCCCACAAACGATCCCGATCTCGATCTGCACGCAAGTGGGCGTGTGGGACGTCGGAGAAGCGCTGCTGCAGCAGCAGCAGCAGCAGCAGCAAGAGCAGCAGCAGCAGAGGAGGGTTTGCTGCCTTTTATGGAGGAGGCGTTGAAGGCTGAGGAGGACTATGAAAGTGCATGGGAGGCCCTAAACCCTAAACCCTCGGAGCCCCTAAACCCTCAACTTCCAGACGATCCTTTCTTCCTGTCTAAACAAATTAAAAAACACAAAACCCTCAACGACATTTGGAGAGAAGAAGGCGCACAGATGACGGTCTTCCGCAACTGCGAGGTTCCCCTCACATTCACAAACCACAAGTGAGGGTTTAGGGTTTAGGGTTTAGGGTTTAGGGTTTAGGGTTTGTGGGTCTGGGAGTTAGGGGTTGGGGGTTAGGGGGTTGGGTGGAGGAGGGGGCTGGAAGTAGAGTTCGCACACATCATGATTCGGGGGATTAGGGTTTCGTTCTTAGGGTTTAGGGTTTAGGGTTTAGGGTTTAGGGTTTAGGGTTTCTTTCATCTTGGTAATGATTTAATGTTTAGGGTTTAGGGTTTTGTTTTCCTTATTTAGGGTTTCTTTGTCTTTGTGTAGCGTTCCCACTTTAGGGTTTAATTTGTGGGGTGTAATTTTTAGGGTTTAGGGTTTAGGGTTTAGGGTTTGTGTGCAGGAGGACCGCACTGGGTGCATACTGGGCTACCCGTAGGAGTAGTTGTTTATATGACATTTCTTTTAAGAGGGTTTTAGAGATCCAAGGAAAA